TAGAATAGTGCAGTATATCAGCAATACAAACTCCAGGAACATTTTATACGTTGTCGCCGAGGAGCTCACGATACGATCAATGTTACAAGAGGTACCTTGTATCAATGCTTGTATTTATGTTATCTGTCTATAATTGATGGGATGTCGATCTTCTTTGAAAGAACACTTTAAGGAGGAGGGGGGCTATATCCGAAAAGTCTTTGTGTGAAATTTTCAAAACGATGACTTTTCTTTCTTGGCCACTTGCTTTTAATTTTAAGGTATTAAAAATAACACCTTGCTAAAAATAGATTACATTGTATTTTCAAACATTATTTTTCTGTAGAATAATGCGCTAAAAAGAACCAAATATGTCAAATCACATTCAAAATTAACATATTTTTAAAACATTTGACTTGTATCTTTAAAATGAAGGCAAATTTATTGCTATTCATTTTGCATGAAAAATTATAATGGAGCACTATGTAAGTAATGCCCCATTTTTCTGTCGTATTTTTAACAATTCCGTCATACATAATAGGCAATATATATCTTAAAAATTCTTTGTGTGAAAATTAAATTATAAATTTTGGAGAAATGAATAATTTTTTATTTTAATATGAAAAAAGTATACCTTTGTGAAATATAACACGTCAGTCTGCACGTCATTGCTACTTAAATCTGTGTTAGATTATGCTGAATATAAATATTAGGTTTTGAAAATTAAATTAACTTATTGAGCGAAGAAATTAATTATTGGCTTTTTCACAAAAAAGTATAAATGATGTGAAATACCTGTGCTAGGGTATTCTTTCTACAATATGAAAAACAAAGAAAGATAACTTCAAATAAATAGCAAAATTTTTGCTATTTATTTGAATGCAACATTTCAAATGCAACAATCGTTTTTCACACCGTAGTTGTTTACCCATTGTGGTCTTAGAATGAATTAGAAAAGAAATAAATCATTTACATAAGAAATAAACAACAATGTTAAAAAGTTCTCGGAAATGACTGATAACTGATACCTGCCCAAACCATGACTGATCCACAACCAAACCGGTCATGTTCAGTGCTGCAGCAATCCTTAAACCTCTCTTTTTTCTTCCTCCATACTCGTCTGCGACTATCATTAAAATCCAGACAAAATCTGGATTCATCAGTCCATAACACTCCTTGGATATGATGATGGTCCCAGTTGATATGGTCTTGAGCAAACTGGAGGCGACGGTTGCGATGTTCCACGGTCAAAGGTGGGCGCACAGCAGGTCTTCTGGCAAAACTAGCCAGTTCAATTAGCAAAAATCGCAGGAATGGAGCACAAATCAGGAGTGTGTTTGAATAACAATTCATAAAAATGTAGGGAAACCCAGATAAAACAAAAACGTGCAACAAAAAATAGTTATTTGTTTTAAAACTTTCAAAAAAGTAAGTGGCCCTTAACTTTTTTTTGAGTATATATGAATACTTTTCAATCACGAGATGTACAATAAAATATTAATATTGTTACGATGTTACTAATGTTTTGAATACTATATCCTAGCCCAAAAGCGCACTTACCTTTTTTTTACCCGAAATTCCTTTTTAAGTTACGTAAACTAAAATAGGCAATACCAACATTTTTGACTTCTAATATATTTTAAAGGTACTTGGACACAGATTTGAAGTTATTATTTTCTCTATAATATTACGACTTAAATATTTTAATAGCATTTCACGAAAAAATTAATCAAAAATCTCATTTCGTTTAAAAGATATTGAAATTTCAAATTTTTCGGCGGGTTTGATTGACATATCCTTGCACTCTCACAAATTTAATTTTATTCTTAATCCTTAGGAAAAGTGGCAATCTCATTTTGTATAAATGAAAAATATTAATACTATAATACAGAAAATTCAGAGTAGACACGTTCGAAAGCAAAACAAACACACAATATATTGTCAGTCCGTGCAGTTGTGGTAAGCAGACTGTGACGATTGAACGCACCCGGTGAATTCTAAATATAAACAATAACAGAACTCGAGCCCTGTTTACAAAAACTGTGTACATAACACGAGTGTGCTCGATTTGCTAAACTCTGTACGCATCTCTTAGTTCGGAATGACGATACTTGTGAAGGTGTTTTGCTTTCTAACATTTCTACTCTGAATAAAATTATTTTTGTTGATAAAAGTTTTAATATTTCTCATTTAAACACATCAAAATTGCCACTTTTCCTAAAGATTAAGAATAAAGTTAATATTTGTGAAAGTGCAAGGATGTGTCAATCAAACCCGCCAAAAAAATTAAAGTTTTAATAACTTTTAAATGAAATAAGATTTTTAATTAATTTTTGTGTGAAATGCTATTAAAATATATAATTCGTGATATTATACAGAAAAAATGAGAAAATATTAACTTCAAATCTGTGTCCAAGTACCTTTAAAAGGAGTCATGAAATACTGTAGATCACTTAATTTTCGCGACGCCTTATTTTCGCGAGATAGTCATTGACTCTTTATTAGCGAGACAAAATTTTCACGAAGTGTGGTCATTCTCTATATAATCTAAAGGAATTCTATAATACGCGAGAATGAAATTTTCGCGAGCATTCCGTCTCGCGTAATTACGCGAAAATAAAGTTCTCGCGAATAAAAAGTGATTTACAGTAGTAAGATCTCAGCAGCAATCATTGTTCTTTCACTATAAACAGATATTTCCTGGACTGGACTGCTTAAATTGAATGTAAACATTCAAATGTAAGAGCGTGATAACTTTTTAAGACCAAACAACTTCTAGGTCATTGCGCGTCACAACATAGCAATACGACGGCCCGTTCGTGTAATAAATGCAGTTTTACTCGAAAGAACTTAATTCGTCTCAAATGTAAATGCTAGTAAAAAACGATAATGTTAAAAAGTTGATTAGGAAATGAACTTTTAGTTTGTACGTGATCAAATCTTCTAAGAAGCCCTTCGGGCTTCACAGGATTTGATCATGTGACCAACTAAAAGTTCATTTCCCAAAGAACTTTTTATCATTGTTGTTTGTTTCTTAATTATAATATTCTTAATTTACATTTAATATATTTTCTTTATTCGAGGCTTATTCAATATCGAACCCCAAGCACATATTCGTTTTCTTCGAATTATACTAGTATCGTCAGCACTTGAAAATTTATGATCAAAGATTGTTTAAAAATATTTTAAAGGATTTTAGAAAGCAGAATTTCAGCGTTGTTTTTGTTGAGGTACATACGATACAAGACACGAATCCAATATAAAAGCAATTCACCTGCCAGGGAACTTTAGTGTCCCTTTGATCTAAGATTCGGAGGTAAATAGTTTTGCCTTGTCCATCCGTCTGTCTGCTTCTCCGTAAAACGTTAAGCTTGCCCATAAACTTTGATTTGGTGGGGTATGGCTTTCATACTTTAAAGGGTGCATTCCTTGTGTCAAGACCTTTCTCCGGATACCAAGTTACCAACAAATTTGACCTCTTGCCCCTGAACTTGGAGTTTGGCCCACTTTTACAAAAAATGCAAACTTTGACCATGGCCCTAACATCTGAACAGTTGGTGCTAGGGCTTTATTACCTCACATGTGTATTTATTGGGACAAGCCTTTTCAATTGTTAAAAATACTTTTATCCTTTTGATCTTGACCGTAGAGTTTGTGGCTGTAGCACTTTAACTGTTAGCACTAGCTGGGTCTTTCATATATTACAGGTGTACGTATTGTATTTCTTGGGACAAGACATTCCTTTGGATACAAACAGATTTTAAGATTTTACCTTGACCTCAGAGTTTGACCTGATATGGAAAAACTTACCTCACCCATATCTTCCGAACTATGGGTGTTAGGGCTTTTATATTTTATTGATGTATTTCTTATGACAAGGTCACAGCCGCTCTCCATGGGTATTATTGATATTCACCATTTAAGGACCCTCTCTACACCAGTGCAAAATGTTTTTTAGACATTGAGAAAAATATATTGTATAAAGGTGTTAATATTGAGCATATCTACATAATTTTCGCTGTATGGTGCGTGGCATTTACCCCTGGGAGAAATGTCCAAATACAACACAGTATCAGTGAATTGAAATCACTTTTGTTTACTTCCAAAGAGAAAATACCTATAAATAACATGTTCAATTTATTAATCTAGGTCTTTTAAAATGTAAAAAATATTTGCATTGATTAAAAATTAAGTAATATGCTGTAAATTTATTTTTTTAAAGAATTAAGATCTAAGGGCAGATCACTTTAATTGCAGAAAAATAGCATAGAATAAGAACTCTTTAGTGTGCAGTGTAGAGAGGGTTCTTAACCTTAACCTTGGGGACTGACCATTTAAAAAAAAGCTGACATTGCTCATAACTTTTAAAAGATTTGTGCTTGGGTCTTCATGTTTCAAATATATATTCATGCATTTGCACAAGTCCTTTTTTTGGGTAACAACACTTTTGATCTCTTGACCTTGGAATTAGACTTGCATTTGAGAAACTTTGACCCTCGACAAAAGCTGGCATACGGGCATCAGTGTTTCACGAATACATTGTTTTTTATTTCTGCTTTAAAAGAAAGTGGTTGATGATCTTTTGACCCTGTCTTCATCCAAGAAGAAATAACAAAGTAAAGTTGATAACCGTAAAGTTATAAACGTTGACCGATTTTGACGAAGGTACTAAAAACAAAGGTAAAATAATAATAATAATATATTTCCCATTGCAGGCTAACCCTTACATAAAAAAATCTACAGATCCTGAGACGGGAAAAGTGGTGTTTTTTGGGCTTTGTTATGACATTTTAGAGGATCTTTCAAAGGCTTTAAACTTTCGGTTGGATAACATAAGACATTTGAGATTATTTCTTTAAATACAAGTATTTTTTCCTCTCTTAACTTTCAAAGAAGAATATTTCACTTTTTAAGGAAAGTAATCTTGATCAAATTTATTGACGTTCTATGCATAATACATTTTTATTAAAAAATCACTTTATTATTTCGAAAAGATACCATATAAAAAATTCAGTTGACGGATTATTCGGAAATCCAAATGAAGATTCCTCTAATGCAACTGGAATGATTGGAATGGCCATGCGAGGGGTATGTTTTTAAATGCACTTATTCAAACTCCAACTAGCGATTTCTTTATTGCAAAAACAGAAACCAGTGGAATCGTCATGCTAGAAGTATGCTGGAGAAATAAAATCATGAACTTATTTTATGTGAACAATCAATTTCAGACTCTTCTTTACTCCTTTTTTAGGAGGCTGACATAGCAATAGGTCCAATCACTAGAACAGCAGCTCGTCTTAACGTTGTTGACTTTTTGACGCCGTTCCAGGAAGAAGGAATAGGTTTTGTAATGAAGAAAATTGACAGTCCTCTTCTCGAACAAATGTTTCATGTCTTCCGTCCTATTAGTCTCGTATGTTGGGTTGCCGTAGTTGTTTCCACTGTGTTAACAGGCATAATTCTTACAATCCTTGCCAAACTGAGTCCATCTGCTGAACACAAAGAGGCATCGCTTTCACGAAACTTGTGGATAGCATTGAGCTCAATTTTAGGACAAGGTACAAATTTTATAGATTGCTGATTAATGAAACTCGATGAACTTGTACCGTATCTGTAAATACTTTGCATATATTCCATTTCAAAAACTTGAATGTCACTGTATTTTAAAATGCATTTTAATATAAGATTACATTGAAATGCAATCATTATCAATTTAAAGAAATTAGTACTAGGTCCCCTGAATGATAAATTCCATGTCCATTTCAGAGGATTGTCCTCGACCCACATTCCATCAAGGATATATAATATTAGGATTTTGGTGGATATTTATTACGCTGATCATGGCTTTGTATGCCTCGTCCTTGGCGGCATTTTTAACAGTTCCACTTCCCAATGCACCTTTAAGGAATCTGGAAGAGTTGGCTTCTCAGACACATTATAAACCTCTTGTCACGCAAGGAACAAACCTTTTTCATTTGTTTAAGGTAAGTCTTCATGTTGCTGCCGTTGTCCTGTTGAGAAACACTTTTTGGATTCAATTTGTAACGGAAAGTGTTCTTTTATTTCAGTCTGCAAAAGGGGGACTTCACAAAAGAATATGGGAAATGATGTCTGACATGCCAAAGATTACAGTTATGGATGAAGCCTTTTCTTTGGTTGAAACAGGAAAATATGCTTTTATATCTGACTCATCTGAACTTCGATTTGAACTTCGGAATAAATGTGACGAGCTGGAAATTGCACAAGATTCATTCTTATTGACCCAACTGTCTTTCGTTGTCCAAAAAAATTTTCCGTTTAAAGATGCCTTCGACCATCAGTAATATTTTAATTTCTAAATCAATGGTATTCAAACATATAAAGTTGAACTAGAATGTAATATGTTACAGCAAACAATTTTTTAATGGTGAATATTTTTGCTTCCACATTTAGAAAATATTGTTGTTGAAATAATGATTTTAAAGCGTCCTTTATCATTTATATATTTTACAACCATTCATTTTTTGATTTTTCGTTTTTTCCACAAAGCAATATAAATGATCTGTTTTAATATACTACGATCTTGTATATCATACCAGGGATGTAAAGAACATTGAGTCATTTGATTAAAAAAATATTTAGCCCAAATATGCTTAAAGTCATAAATGAAGATTTTGTTGGCTTAGTAGATCATGGTAGAATTGTCCAACCCATAGTTTAAAGCAACACACAGATCGACTTGATACTTTATGGTTTTTATTCTCGCTAGAGTAGAATTTTGATTCAATGAACTAGGACTTCTCAAACGTCAATGTAGTCGCAGTAGAGTATATAAAAATTCACACACATATCGAAAGACATAATATTTATCATATTTCATTTGTTTTATTTATAACTCTGCAAATAAAAGAAATAGTTATATTAATATTAGTTAAAAAAAGAAAAGTTATTTACAAGGGTTTTTTTTCCTCAGAAGAAGAGAAAAGATTTTTTTTGGACATAAATTGGCATTAGTATGTTTGAGTAGTGATGACTAAAATTCAGGTGTGTGTTGTTTCCAGTTATGCATAACAATAAAATCTAGATTTATACATAGAAATATTAAGCAAACAATAAGCAATATTTAGGTTAGAAAATAATTAGTTTTGCTACTATATTTTCTGTTTCTATATTTTTCAGCATCATGAAAATGGAAGAATTTGGAATTATCACGAAACTTCGTCGTAAGTATTGGAGCCAAGCACATTGCTATCATTCTCGTGTTACTGGAGGAACTGAATTGAAGATTAAGAATATGGGTGGACTTTTTATTGTGTATCTTGTTTTTATTTTTCTGTCCCTGATATCCATTGTGGCGGAAGTGATGATTCTTCGCCGATCATGCATGCATAAAAGAAAAATTGAATATAAAGAAAAGAAGGATGATGAAATGGTAAAAGATAATGACGAAGATACTAATGTAGTTCAATATATACTAGCATTTATATTTTTTATTTATTATTTATTTATGTCATTCTGTTAATTTAAACTTCATTTGCCATCGATGTTATCATATATCTCATACATTAAAAAGAAATGTACTTGAAAAAACATTTAAATCAAAATTTATTAATTGTATTATCTTCTATTATAAAACAGGACATTAATTTTTTTGTAATGCTCTTTTATTTTTTGTTCATTGACTAGCCATCTTTCTTCGTTGTTTACATGTACGTATTTTTGTTTTATAAATACAAACTCCAGATATCATTGTATAATATATGCAAATGGAATACACACTAAGTCTTGGCAATTTTGTAATTACATGTACATTGTACATGTATAAATATACGTTTGAATAAATGTCTTATGGATTAAATGATGTTTGAAAGAAGTATTTTTATTCATTGTGCAAAATCTACATCAGGTCAGTCTGCAAATTAAATTTTTCTGCATCGTATCGACTTTTCAAAGAATTTTCACTTTTCTGACTTTAATTTGTACAAATAAATATTTAACACAGGGAAAACTTCTACTATCGATGCATTTTTTTATGTACTAGTATATTGTAATTAAGAACATAAGCAATGAAACACGGAGATAACGAACAGTGCCCAAAGATCTAAATACAAATTAGGAGCAAAGCAAACAGGGACCTCCAAAATCTCAGAGGTGGGATCAGGTGCTATGGAGGATTGAGCATCCCCTGCCGACTAGTCAAAGCCACCATGGGCTCCATGTTATAATCAGGAAATAACGGGAAAATCCACCGACAATTCAGTGGCTTAACAATTCGTATAAAAAACTTCAGTCAGCATTTGACTCAATGATAAATTTGCATATGCTGACCAATTAATTCTATCGACTAAAGATCTCACGAAATGATGACTTAAAACGAGACTACTGATATATCTTTTTACACTGTTATTTATTGAATGATGCAAGAAACAAATTAATTCTTCTCGAACATAAAATATAATTCTTTGATATACAGGCATCTTATTTTATGATAGTTGATTTCAAAACATATTCAAATTTGCTATAAGATTTACAGTAATAATATCGTCATGTTATCAATAATTGTAATTAAGATACAATCGTATTCACAAAATAACATTCAGTCACAGTATCCAATATTTCTGGGAAAAGATTTGATGTACGTATGTATTATGTATCCCTAAAATGAGTAAAATGTTTACTTCTCATTCTTAATTTCTTTGTAATGTACATGCGTATATGCTGTGATACATATGACTTATCTTATTGTGTGGATCATGTTATACACAAAAACTTTTATCATAAGTTTTTATATAGCACGTAAAAATCTATTGATGTTGATCATTATATGTACAATCACTTTCATGATAAGTTTTAACTGGCTTGTTAACTATAGTTGTAAAACCTTTCTCCTGTAAAAATTGTAGAACCTCGGCCTCATAGTCTCTTTTAAACACTTCCGGGTCACGGGCGAGCACAAAGAGTGTAGCCTTGACATTGTCGCTGACGATAGCGTATTGGTATTTATTGTCACTGCCATATGTATCTGGTCCAAGCTTGATCACCCAATCTAAAGCGCAAATCAAAACATGGTATGTTAGTAAAATTACGCAAAAAAAGAGATTTTTCTTATTCTTTTCTCCTTCTTGAATACTGTTCATTATCTCCACATATTTCACCTACTCTTCCATGTAAAGTTAGGTACTAGTAACTGGCTACAAGTAAATGGCTAGGACATTTGATTAAGGTAAGCTACTAGTAACTGACTACACCCAGTTGGTTAAGTTAGCTACTAGTAAATGGTTACTAGTAACTAATTAAATGTAAATAAAGCTAGCTACTAGTTACTGGCAAATGCATCCATTATTTTTTTTACTTTAAATTAGTATTTTTCATGCAGTCAGTAGCTTGAACTTTTACTCACATTTTAAGTTACATGTACTTTGTAACTTAGCCTAGTAGCGAATTACTAGTAGCTAACTTTAATCACATGTTGTAGCCAGTAAGTAGTAGCTAGCTTTATTCTCATTTTAAGTCAGTTACAAGAAGCCAGTCACTAGAAGCGAAGCTAATCTCACTTATCTGTCCCAGCCAGTTACTAGCATCCAGTTATTTGTAGCTACCTTAGAGTTTACATATCTGACGCATGGCCCCCTTTCTGATGTTTATGAGGTCCGTATTTTCTTTGCTCATGATCTTTGTTGTTGAAATGGACTTATGAGCTTGATTATTTTTCATTATCTAGTACATGAAATATATGTATTCAGTATTCAAGCTCAAAAGTCCGTAAAACAATACAAAATCGGAGCAGAGCAAATACGGACCGAGCTCCAAAACATCGGAGGTGGGATCAGGTGCTATGGAGGAGTGCGCATCCCCTGCCGACCTGTGCTAACACCCGCAGTGTGTTCTTTGTCATGATGGGGAAATAACGGAGAAATCCGTCGTATTTCACTTTCTACAAAGCATCTTTTAGCTGTCGAAACAGTCTGTAGTAAAAGTGTGCCTGAGGGAAATAAATGTGCTATGAGGTGAACTTTGACAATGCAGAATTATTTTTTCACATTATGCGCAAAAATGCATAGTACTTACAAGGGGCGTCAAATATGACAGTCTCCAAATGAACTGTAAGTTTTCCAGGGGTACCACTAGGAGTGGCATATCCATGAATAACCTTTAGAGGTCCAGTGGCAGAGTTTAGGCGCTCAGAATTCAATACGGTTATATGACCAGATCCATCGTTTGTCAGTGTGTCTGTTAATGATAAAAGAAGGCATTGTTAAAAACCGTTGGATATTATTATTTTTGTTTGAAAAATATTTAAAGAAATATCATTTTTGTCAAGGAATAAATGTAAATTATAAGATATTTTCATATGTCAAGAAAATTGGAAGATTTTTCAAAACACGATGTCTTCATTTAATATGCAAACAATAAAACGATTAAAAATGAAATGTAGTTTTCTTCTTGTATATTTCACTGGAGATATACTTACAATCGGCAGTAACGCAGTATGCACCTCGTTCAAAAGTAGCATAAATAGACTGACTGCCATACATCTGTCAAGTAAATGTGTGGTTTTCAAGTTATATTACATCAAATACAAATAACGAAATGTATATATGCTGAATTATATACTTATCATATTCTTTTCCATTACATTACTGTTCAAAAAGTTTTTTCTACTCCTCATTAAAAAATTTTTTTTCGAAGTTTCTGTATTACGAAAAGGGTTTCTTTTCATTTTGTTCCACATGGCACATTCATTTTATGTTTGTATTTCATAATTTCTTTTTATAAATTGTAAATTAATTTTTGAATAAGTAGTCTCAGAAATAAGAAAATAAGGATTATATAATAATTTATCGTCAAAATGTATAGATTTTCCCCCTAAAAAGTTCAAGTGGTAATTTTTTTTTACACTGTGTGTTTTTATATACGAACGTATATAAAAAAAGAATGGTCTTTATGGGAAAAAGATATGATATTTACAAAGGCAGATATTCTTAAGAAAAAACCAAAAGACAAGAGAATAGGTAAGAGGATATTTTTTTTCCCTCAGCCCCTTCTTATTATATGAACAAACCTGAAACCATCTTCCTAAATATTTCTGGACATCAAGTTCAGGTACAGGTTCAACGGCGGATCCAAGAAAAGTGTCAATGAGAAAAGCCGATGTCAAATTCAATGCAAAAAGGCATACACAAATAATGTTTGTGAACATTTTGAACTTCTTGCTCTCTGCAATTACGATATAAAATGACCTTCCTATATCTTCTATTGGACTAATATATACTCTTTGATTCTTACATAAATCATTAGTATACAGACCATATGTACTAACACGTGAAATTCCTCCCTCCTTATCTCTGAAATCATGTTGGTCATGTGCAAGGGACTTAAATAAAGGAACGATGGAGTGGTTGGTCTGATTACTTTGATAACAAAGAGAGCGTATTTTGAGAAGTTCAAATTGTTCTTTTAAATCAGTGTTTGCACAACATTCCTAATTATCAATTATTGTACACTATTTACACTTTATTTCTAAGATGTCACAAAAGAATTTTTGATTTTCAATTTTTGAAGAAAATTATTTAAAGTTTAAAAATTTCTCTTTATTTTCCCTCAAAACTTATTTTTGTCCGTCCATGAAGACTTTTGGATCAAGGAATTAAACATGTTTTCAATTCATTAAAATTGTACAAATGCAGTCTTGTTGTAAAATTTCGTATATTATAAATGCTTTAATTCTAAAAGAAATTTGACATTTTAAAGCATAAATTTTACATATTCATAGATAGATAAGATAATTTGCAAGAAAAAAATGACTTATATAACAATACCGCTATACCCTTATCATCTGAATAAAGAGGTTATCTCTTCCGGTTGATATAATATGCATGAGCATGATATACGATGAAACTTGTTCTTAATCGAGCAGGCTATTGACAAACTAGTGGATAAAACAAGGTTATCATCAGTCTCCTTTAAAGTCACCATTTTGCATTTTTCTGGGTCGATTCAATTATCATGTTAGCAAATATCTAGTCTATCATCTAGTCCAACACTGACTGACGTTTTTTTTTTCACGCAAATTGTGAGGCCGTTATTTACACAATGGATTGTCTGCGGATTTTTTCTGTTTGCTTAATCAATGCAAGGAGTACACGGTGAGAGTGAGTGGTGGACACGTATGCTTACTCTTACAAGGCAACTGATCCCACCTCTGATGTTTTAGAGGCCCGTGTTTACTTGGCTCCAGATTTGTATTATAACAATGGACTTCTGCGCTTGATTATTGTTCGTTTTTGCATATTTCATGCAATAATTTTTATAGAACATGTACATAGATTCGACAATGACATAGATCAATTAAAATTATTCTTCCTCCTCTCTCACAAATATCTTAACAGTAAGTGTGTAGCGATGATCATTAAAAAAATTAGGAAAAGAACATCGATATGTTTGTATTCAAAGAAAATTTAAGAAGTACGATTCTAAGATTAATGACAAGTCAGTTTAAACATACATGATTTTATAATAGAAAAATTAATACATCAAAATGAAATATTTTTAAAGTCTCGTAACATTCGCTGTACATTGCTAGAATTCATAACCTAACAAAGTTCGTTGTGTAAGGATCTAGAGTTAAAACAAATGAAATCATTCAGAAAACCAAACTATAAAAAATCCATACAAAAAATACATAAACACTGAACATCTCATCCAACAATAATGTAGTCCCTCTGCTAGTTTTGTCCAATTTGCGGTCGAAGTTATAACACCTTTCATTTGCAAAGGAATCAACCTCGAACGATCGTCCTTTGCAGAATGCTCTCCCGTTGTTATATAAATCCTTAATAACGACGCCTTTAAGTATAGCCGATCCACAAGCTTCAAACCAGTTGTCACAGAATTCCTCACACACTGTCAGCCTTTCAAACATGTAAAATCTGTTTTGGTAAGGTGCGCATATATAACACATAAGGTAGTTCGTATATCTTTGGCATGCTGTAGAAGCTCCGATTAATGGTTTCACTTTCCCAAAAGTAGCATCGATTTCTTCCTGCATACAGCATGAATTTAACTGAAACCAAGTACAATTCCTTAAATTTGACTGAGGTTTCGGTCCCCTGTTGCCGAAAAAGGAGCAAAATTGCAAATTTTTTGATGCATCAATTAACTGAAAAATTACAATGGTAACGACAACCGAGGGAAACAAACGTCTGTCAAGCGCCATGTTTTTTTCTGTTTACTCCATATGAACACAGCGAGTTACGATCAATATTTAGCGCTGCCTCAGAATTAACAGAAAAGGCTTCAGTACTATACGGAGTAAGAAATAATCGATACCTTTAACAAAATCGATGCCTTAAATAAATTATTCTGTAGATGAAAAACTATTGTTAAAGAAATATACAAATAAAAACTAATCTAATGAAATACACACAAAAAAAAATTATGTGATTATCGGTAAAAATCAGCTGGGCTTCTGAATTGGTAAATTTATCAAAAATAAATAAAAAAACTAGTGTTGAAATTGACTTTTCCGTTTTGAAAAGAATCTAAATGAACAGAAAAGATGATCAATTAAAGATAAATGCACGATTCATGAAAATAATTTTTTACGACAATAACTTGGAAATATCATGCATAAATATTTATATAATACACTAATCAAATAATTCAAAGTATATATTCATTTTTAAATAATACATCTGTCTCTCAATATTTCAAAATTTATCAAAAAAAACTTTTTCAAGAATTTTTATGAAATAAACTACATACACTCATTACACTGCATTATTAAAATACATTTATGTACAAATAAACTATGCATTTTAAAATGTTCCTTAAGTTAAATTCATATAGGTATTGGACATGTCACTGTAGGCTTGCACAGCATCATAACAGAAAACCAACTGCTCCTAAAATGAAATTAATATAAAATAATTAAAATTAGTGAACCGTATTTCGATCATGAAGAGATTAATAATGACGAAAAGAATATTTTTTAAAAAAAAAATCAATTCAATGTACCCGGGTTCAAATGAAGTAACTCATTAAATTTGGAAGACTGACAACATACCAGACTGGGCACAATCTGAGAGCGACGGGTTCTCATTTGTAACACTGTCTGCACAACTCCGACTTCCTGTTCAGTTCGCAGTCGCTCAATGATCGTGGCAACCGTACAAAAGAGACCACTTTTCTTTGCGCCATTCCTAAAGTATAGTTCTAAGGTTCAGAACTATAATTCTATGTATAAGAACAATTATGTTCTTCTTCATACTTATTGGACAAATTATCATAAGGTTTTTTATAAGACTTTGTAGGAAATAGAACACCTCAATTATTAGCTTTTTTCAAAATACTTCATTATTGTATTGATTTGATTTGAGAAATAGATAACTTTTTTCAAAACATTTCAGATTAACTAAACAACCAAATAGTAAGATTTATAATTTGTGTAAGTTTATTAAGAAACATACATGCAGTGAACCACAATAACAGGGTCATTGACTTCTTTCTGCCATGCATTCACTTCTTCAATCATCTCTAGCATTGGCTCGGGTCTTTCAGGCCTGACAGCATCTTCTGACCAAAACTTACACTGGAACTGTTTCACAATTCTCTCCTCTTGAGTCTACATTAAATACAAAGCAAACTAGAATCACTGTAAGCACTGAGCTCACAAAATGATACCCCTGCCTCCCATGTTATTATAATGGAAAAGTCTATGTTGGGAGACCCAAAAAATTGTCAAATCAAAATTTAAAAGAGATGCTCAATGACATATAATAATAAAGAATCTGTGAAAATGTCATTAAATTTTATTCAGTGATATAGGAAGATATGTGGATGATATGGGTACCTCTTAACCTTAAGCTTAGATGCATATAACAGTGAGATTTAGAAATGGTTATACAGTTCTCAGGGTTACCTTGACATTTAACACCATCATTTTGAGAACGCTATAGGGAGCATTCCCAGCCCCCCTCTCTAGAAGCTTTACGGTTATTGGTCCAAAGGTCACTTCGTCTTTATCCACTGGCCAGTAGATCCCCATACTCTAATCAACAAGTCAATTATACGTCACAGAGCAGTGCTGACTGTACACTTTTGACATATCAAAAATTATTTTGGAAAAAGAATCAGATGAACAACGATTATATAAAACAATCAGAGGCATATAAAATCTTATCTTAAGATCTGCATCAACAAACTTCACTTTGAATCTGGACCTGTTTTTACCTTGTCATTCTTGAAAGAATTCATCATGACAATTGTGGACACGTCTTGTTCGAGGACAAGAAACCAGAAATCCTGGACAGTGTTGGTCAGAGGCATTTGTGTGAGAGCAAATGAATTCCGGCGCTTGTAGCCCTTAATTCAAAATCAGTTTGAATGAATCTCTATTTCAAATATCATAAAGCAGTTAAAATTGTGCTTTTTTGACGTTTTAGCCTGTTAAATTGTATTATTTATTTAGTGAAAATTGTATTTTTTGTCCATGAAATGATAATTTAATTAAAAAATTGAATTAATTAATATCGGATTGTAGAACGAAATATTATTTTTTGATTTTCAAAGAAAATAAACTTATGAAAAGAAAGTTACCGGTATTTGTATTGCATTAACATAATTATTGTTCCCACTTGAGATAAATATTCTATACTCGTCACCTACAATGACAATTTGGCATGTTAAAATTTTACAAAATAAGTATATCAATAACATCATATTTTAAAATATTTTTTAAAATTTTCTTTTAGTGTATAGTCTCCCTTACATTAATATGTTCATGCTGTATTTCATTTTGTCCACTTTTTTCTTATTTCTCAATATTTGTTTTCCTTCCATATATATTTTGGTTGATAAAATTTGACTCAATGAACCTAAATACCTTTCAAATTATCAATAAATAAACATTTAATTTTTACCAAGTAAAAAAAAAAAATCTTCAAATCGATCTTAAATACACTTATACATTGTATAGTGAACCTACTTGCAAGGACGTTGGTATATCTATTTTTACATCTATTCTCCTTAAGTTTAGCCGTCTGGAATCTTCTGTCGTCAAAAACTGGCGATAACTTGTTGATGACCTGATTTACCATATTGATAAAGAATTCAATTAAAAGTTCCCTCTTTATGATTATTTCAGATATATTCATAAAACACACACCAAAAAGGATGTTTCAAAAATCAAATAATTCTATATATGGTAATACATATGTGATGGTAAAGGGGGAAAATCAGAAAAGCACTCATGATCTTTACATATGTCTTATTGTTAATAACAGAAAGTTAGATCTAAGTGTTTAAATAAATCAATATTCTTTGACATTTCACAAAAACTATATTATTTTACAACCTGGAATTGTTCCCACAGTCCACTCTTTTTCGTAGAAGGATTTATTTGTTTCAAACTACTGTAATACTCAGGAAACTCAACGACCGTCACAACACCTTTTCCTTCTGCTAGACCTTCAATTAGGGCATCGTGCAAGAATACGTACTGCTCCTATAAATGAGGGGACATGAAATAAAATAAAATCAAAAACTTCTTCAATTGCAGATTATTCTTCAATAATGACCGATTTTTGTGGCAATTTACATATTTCTATCTTTATTAGCTTTATTGATTATCAGTGTTCTAGTTTTTATAATAATATTTTGCACATAACAAAATACTAGCATCTAAATAAAATTTTATAAGTGTAAAATGAAGCAGTTAAATAATCAGTCTGTCCATCATCAAGTGGTGAAAAAGCTGGCCATGAGTGATTTGTCGTTCGTTCGTACTTGAGAACAAAGAAGTTATAATTACAATAAGTATTTGTACTTTTCTCTCACTTAAATAGACGTTGTGTATCATCGGATATTGTTGTACAACTTTTAAGTGTAGTTAGTTGTTCAGCTCAACTTCCCCGTTCAACAAGCAAATTTGCTGCACATAAATATCAAAGTAGGAAAAAACACTATGTCATCCCACTATACCACTTGATGTTTTGAAAAAAACACACGTAAAAGTTTGAAAACAGCGTTTTCAAGAAAAGATGAAACACTGAATAGCATCAGGAAAATATTTTACATCCCAGATTTTGTAAAACCTCAAGTACGCTTATGTTTTCTGTCAGCTACAGATTTTAAATTTGAAACAAAAAACCCTTGTATGTTCATATCATAAGAAACGACACTGTCACTCCATTATTTAAATGTCATCATACTGTTCTCTTCTCTCCTATTGTATGTTTATTGTTATATTTTGCACATATATGTATATGCCTCTCATTTATGCTATTGCATGATATTGATAATCTAATTATATTTTTCGTAACTATGACTGTACCTCATGTACATGCACCACTGATATTGGCGTGTTTGAAATAAATGAACTTGAAATGAACTTGGCCTTATTTAAAGCACTATACGAACTAGAATATATATGTCTGTTAACCTTATTGTATATATTATCCGCTTCAAAGTTTCAAATATATATATTATTTATCAAATAAGCACAGATTGAGAATTTTTCATATTTTTAAATTAAAGTAGGTGTATGGTTAAAGACGCAATGATGCTTTAAAAATAGAAGGCGGCTTGTGATTTAAAGGCATAAGAAGAATGTATCTGTCCGATTAGTGCTTGGCATAGGAATCTTTAGTGTCTTGAGCAGCATAACTCCGACAGAAAATTAGCTTACCGTGCAAACTGATAGAAAAATTGTCTTTAAAATTTTCTCTGAATTAAAAAAAAATATTTTTAAAAAATACATCTTGGATTTAATTTTTCACTAAAATCAGTAAGGACATCCTGTGAATATTTTCTTTTCGATTTGAAATGGAAAAACAGTTGATTCATAATTTACCACTGTTTGTACAACATGCACCCTTTGTTGACGCATCCGGGCCACACAATTGATGACGTCAACACTTCTTTCCCGCTCTCCCTGTTTTATAAGAAAGTCCAGTGCCATAAACGTCCCAGTGCGACCAACCCCTGCACTAAAAATAGTGAAAATACCGCATTATGTATTTTTTAATGTTACCTCTTTGGTTAAAATATATATTGCTGTTTTCTAAATATTAATGATCTTCCTAAAATTCGAAGGTTGTAGGAAGTGTGGTTACTTAATATACCCCAAATGAATAAATATTAGAAGTCGGAAAACCAATTACAATAAATTCAACAAAATGCATCGGTTACTTAGTTGACCTCGTTCTAAATTTATATGTATCAAGAAAATGATGACAGAAGATGATGTGCTTTATCTGTGACTCTTGGCCTTCCTTCCGTATATGAAGGACGTAATTAGAAATCAAAATACTCCTGTCTGGAAATTCTAGTAGATAAACAATAACCCCTAGCTAAATACAAGGAAAAGAAGTATTCTTATCCGGAGTTAGTCATATACTATAGGACATCGAAATGTCAGTGTGCTCAATTTGAATTGTATACAAGGGTCTAGAGAAATAGATCACATTAAAAACATGAAATCTGCAGCCAGATCGGGTATATTTCTACAGATAAAGAAAAAAAAGAACAATAATTATTACGACTAGATAGTATCAGTAAATGCTTAGAATACATACTACGTACATACCTTATGCTAAGCAAATTTCCACAAAATAAATGTTATTATTAAACTTCGATATATCTTGCACAATATGCATCTATTTCTAACAATTTTCTTTCCTAATATAAATGATGACAAGAATAATATAAATACCGGCCAAGAACAACAGTAATGATGATAATTTAAAAATTTAAACACACTATAAAGTGTAAACTAACTAAACAAACTAAGTTTTAAATTGCACTTTGGGGCTAACTAAAGTACCTGCAGTGAACTAGCACTGGTCCACCTAGTTTGGCTTCATGGCTGACAACTTTATTCCTAAAATCCACTATCGAAGTCACATTTTGGGGGACACCCTTATCCGGCCATGCGGTAAAATGGAACTGCGTCAAGACCTTTGTGTTCCCGTTCTAAGATGAAAATGTCACCTTAAACCATGACATTTTTTACCATTTAAATAGCTTTGTCTACTTCAAAAGACTGACTTTTAATAGCATTATCTACTTCAAAAACATTTTGATGGCATATTTTCAATATAATGAATTTTTTATCAATAAACCTTTTCGTTTTAATTCAGAATTTTTAGATAACTTTCTATTCCAAACTATCTTTAGCTATTACCTTAAGAAGAATTCACAATATTAAAACAGAAATTACTTTCTTTACGGAAATGCTAGTAAATGTTTTATATGAATATTTTGTCCAAAATATAGTACTGTGGACTTTCAGTAAGGCCTGATTTTCTCGAACCTAAGTAGTTAACATCTCTCAAATGGCGAATAGATTCTCATTGGTTAAGAAATTAAAAACCTTAGCAACTTAAAATTGTTGTCGACAACGATGCAACGACTTAAGCCCAGCTACTTGACGTACAAAAGGCTTTTATTAGATCATCGCTACACTCGTTGACATTACCTGCAGTGAACTAGCACTGGTCCATCTAGTTTGGCTTCATGGTTCCTAAAATCCACTATCTGTCACGCCCGAATGTATATTTCAACATTAAATGGAAGGCGGTGAAATTACGAAACGTCGAGAATAAAACGCCTTACTGAAAGTCCAAGGATAACAGAGAACTGTACTAAGAAGAAATTTATTGAAAGTACAAGATCTAGGCTCTAATTTACCGTTGAAAGAATAAAATCTCGAATAGTGTAGTCAGCTGTGATGTCTTCCTTTAATAATTTGACTCGAAAATGATCATATGACTCTTCTTTGTCTGGCCAATACTTCTGACATTTAATCTACAATGAAGATTTCAATGTAAGGTAACTTTCATGAACATTTAAAAATGTACTAAACCTTCGATGAATTTCAGTAGATACATACTATTTCGTTTTCCACGAGATTCGTAAGCATAACAATTTTTCCGCAATTCTGCTGCCATATCATTCTCCAAAAATCATAAACAGTTTCTGGAGTAAATGGACCTACAAAATAAAGATGTATAATTGAAAACTTCTCAAAATAATAAATACGATTTTTTTAAAAAAAGTTAGAATAGATGGAATAAAAGATATATCAAATTGCATAACCATACCCTGCGCAGCTATGTATTCCCTTTCTTTTTCAAATCCCTACAGTAAAATTAAGAATTATATGAAAGCTCAATTATTTGATAAAAATGGGAACATCAGAATGATGTTTGATTACCTAATATATTTCATATGCATTTTTATGTAAATTTCAGAATAACTTAAATGTTTGTTTTACTATAAATTTAAATATAACCACAAAGGATTCTTGTTCGTACGTTCACAAAACAAGCGTTGATAAAATCTGTGTTATCTGTTCCCTTTTCCACTTGTAGAATTACTCGGGTTGAGTCGTCTACAAAAAGAATAAATATTAATTAAATAATCGATGTGTATACCATTTTTATACTGTCAAACTGAAAATCGATAGAAGTCGACTTACAAGGATACATTTTCTTGTATCTGTTTCGAGATCTGTTCTGTGGTTTCAAAGCCTCCTTGCATGACTCTAAGAGACCATTTGGTATGCTCTATATACAAGCATGAGACAATTTGATAAGATGCATTTAAAGTTGGAAATTGTATTTTCTTAATGCTTACTTATCCTCTTAATATAAGACACGACAAATAACCTCAAATTCCTTGTTAAGTTCTCCTCTGGATTTCTTTTCCTGAACTTTTTCCCAAAGTTGATCTACAGGGACAAGAGTTATCTTCACGTTATAATAGTCCGACTCAGCAGGTGTTGGTACCTCGACGTCATCTACGTCATTAGGATCGAGTTCGATTAGATATGCTTGTGATCCACGGAGGTTGTATGGTGAGACCTCTGAATACAACGACCGTGTCTGAACTTCTGGACTGTTGTTCTGTTGATTTTCTATAATTACATTTTAAATTAATTCTATTTAAAACAATTTCTTACAATTACACACACACACACACACCCTAAAAATTTCAATTCTAAGATTATATTAGTATTTACCATTGGCATAAATGCGATCCTCCTCGTATAAATGCTCAGTCAGTCTTATATCATTTTCAACAGGAGGCGACATACTTTTTTGTTTTTCTCGCAAGTTTCTGAATATTAACAATTTAAAACAATATAATTGTTGATTCGAGAGTTATATAATCCTACTGAAGTAAAAATTTGAAAGAGAGAGAGAGAAAAAAAAAAGAAAGAGAGAGAGAGACTAACCTTCTTAAGACAATCGCAACAATTAAAACAAGTGCGAACAAAAGAACTCCTCCTACCAAGACGAATACGTACATTGGAGTATCAGCAGCATCTTCTTTTTCTATAAAGAAAAGAAAAATTATTACCTGAAGAGTAGCATATCGATATTAGTTTGTGCAATATCAACCCAATCTTGAAGTTAACTTTCGGACAAGCATTATACTAATGCGCTACTCACGTTGAATCATTTCACAGTTTTCTCCAGTAAAACCTTCTTGACAACCTTGAAGACATTCACCACCAATATCACAAACTGATCCAACACATGTTATACTACATTCCATGTCACATTGCGTTCCATAAAGTCCTTCCTTACACTTTGTACAATTTCCAAACATTTGATCACATATTTGACAATCTTCCACAGGACAGGATTCCATACAATATTCACCATAAAATGAACTTTTACATCCATCTTTACATTTTCCATTGTCTCCACATTCATCATTACAATTAAGATTACATTGACATGTTCTGCCTGACCAGCCTTCCCTACAGGAGGTACAATAATCGGAAGCATTACAAATTAAACACTCTTGAGGGCAATAGGACTGACAGGAACTTCCATACAATCCAGGTTTGCAGTAGAGACAGTCGTAAGATGAAGTACAGATATAACAGTTTTGAATACAAGACCAACAATATCGTCCGAAATATCCAGGTGAACACTCGGTACAGTTGTAGTAATCATAACAATGTTCGCAGTTTTCTCTGCATCCTTCAGAACATCCTACCCCATGCTTTCTATTATTGCAACCGTATGTACAAATCCCATCCATGTTACACAAGTTATTAATGCAATTTTTACTACATTCCTCGCACAGATCTCCAGTAAACGTGGGTTTACATCGAGTACATTTCGATTCACCGTCACAGGACAAGCAATTAGATGAACAACTCTGACACTTCTTTTCTGTGTCTAGATAGTAACCATCATCACATTTGTTACACAAAACTCCTGAACCAGATGTAATACATTCTGAACAATATTTTTCGGAACATTCCATGCTGCAATTCAGACCTAGCCATCCTTCTTTACAACCACCGATACATTCCCCGTCCCTTCGACATATATCTGATATGCAATTTTTACTGCAGAGTTGTGTGCAATTTTCACCATATCTTCCAGCACCACATTCATCACACCGGCCTTTATCCTTATCGCATGCCTTTTTCCCGCCACATGATTCTGGACATGTTAATTCACACTGAACACCATACAATCCCGCAACACACGATGAACACTGATCATTTAAAATACAAGTGGCACAATTTTTACTGCAAGATGTTTCGCATTTCGGTCCCATAAATCCGTCCTCACAGCCATCCTTACAGTATCCAGACAGTTTCAAACAGTTTTCATTTTTGCAGTTCTCTGGACAGGAGACGTTACAATTTGGGCCGTAAAAACCAGGATAACAATCTTGACATCCCAGGATATTGTCACAGTAAAGTGAATTACAATTCAGACACTTTAAACTACAGTTTTTACCGTAAGTACCAGCCATACATTTTTCACATCTGGATCCATTAAAGCCATCAGGGCATTCTGTGCAACCTGAATATCTATTACAGGGAGTACTTATACAAATAGAAGGACATTCTCTGTCACAATTTTGTCCATACCAACCAGATTTACAACCCGATACACACACTCCTGTAAATCCGTCACATCGAGTGTCTAAGCAGTTGGAACATCTTCTGTCACAGTATTTTCCGTATGTGCCCTGACTACATTCTGAAAATAATATATACATACTATGAAAGTAATGTCTGAGTAAAAATAATCACTTTCTTTAATTTGTGGTAGAGTTTTAACGCATTCACTTTAAAATCGTACACTTTGTGCTATTCGACATATTTACACCTTTGTTTCTATTCTGATGACTTTTTATTCATCTTGACTCAATAGTATCTAAGTAAGGGGTAATGTTAGAGAAGCGCTCCATTCCTTAAAAGAAATGGGGCCGAGGCCCATTACTTTTAAGGAATGGAGTGCTACGAGTACATTAACCCGCGTAAAATCCACCCTTCTGACTGCTTGTATTTAATGTTTGTTAATATATAATAAAGAATATTTTATGATACTCTTTAAATATACATTACTTATAAGTAGTATTCAGTTTATATATACTATAGAAAGTAAGGCGAGAAAAGTGTACTGAAGTTAGTCTTAGCCATTGTGTTTCAACTACTTCGACAGCTCAGTGAATTGTGTACCCGACATCAAAAATAAAAGATAAAAAAGAGTACCCGACACCAAAGGTAAGGGATTAGGGAACTGGGTTCGATCCTTACCATGAGAACAATAGTTTTCTGTATATGAAAATGAACTTGATAAATATTTTTCAAGGTCTTTCCTCGGTAGAGGCACGGGAAAGGGATTATGAACATAACAAATCCTGTTTTCAGTCTAATTTGCAACTCTTCACTCTGAAAAATAATGGATTGCTTAAACAAAAGAGTCACAGGTGGATTTTACTCAATGAAATATATGGAGATAACGAACAGTATTCAAGATCAAAAGTCCATAAAACAATACAAAACAGGAGCAGAGCAAACACGGACCTCCAAAACATCAGAGGTGGGATCATGTGCCATGGAGGAATAAGCATCCCCTGGCGATCAGTCACACCTACGTGTGCTCCTTGACATTATCGGGAAATAATGGGAAAAAAAATTCAGAAGCTCATGGGCATTCTTGTTCACCTGAGCAGAAAACAATAAAGGTTATTTTGTAAATATAACTCATAGATTAATATTCGAATAGGTAACCTGAATGATATTTTGCAGGTAAAATGGGTGAATATTATACGATTTTGTCACAATGTCAATAATCTGTGCAAAGTTGTGTATAGCATTACATCGAAAATGATACAAAGTCGCCTATCAAAGCACCAAGGAGAACTTGCGATTTCTTTATATATTGGGGATAATTGATTAATCATGTCAATTCCATTCAAAATCAGTCAAAAATATACATTAATCTATGCATCAAATTGTTATTTGTGTTATGTGCATGTATCCTTAAGATAAGCATTTTAATTGATACGTAAAGGCTGTTGCGCTTTCTGAAATACATTTTAGGATATTCCTTTTACAATATCATTTAAAGTGTAGTTTTACTGCATTTATCTTTAATCCAAATTGCATTTTTCTTTTTAAAAAAATTAGTATCTAGTGTATTTGTACACAGCAGTCAAATCACTTGTACTTACCATACACTTTTACTTCATAAAACAATAAACCTCCCTGACCGTCCTTCCTGATGACTACTGAATCTCCTGTCATTATTTGATCACAAGATAAATCATAATATAAACGGTTCCTTGGTGTTGAAAGGAAAGTTCTACACAAGTTAGCAACTGTCAGAGAGGTCTCAGTAGAGTTAATCACATATACTTCATAACGAGCTCCATTATTAGCTGTAAATTGTATCACTAAAAGTTTATTTAAAAGCATTTTAAAGTAGCAGAAGACATTAGCTAACTGACCAAAGTTCAAAACTTCACAAAATAACAGAAACAATCTGAAAATCTTCATTCTTCTTTGTTGGTTAATTAAAAAAAAATCTGACCTTTTTATTGATTGAACATACATTAATATTAGAGTTTGATTAATGATTAGTTAGTACTATATTAAAATTTAGAATAATTTTGCATTACAATATACCGATTACCAGAGGTGAAGGTACCAAACAGTGATCAATCTCATAAATGCACTGAACAAAGCCCTTCTTTAATAGAAAAAGAAAACAGCAAAGGACCTATGGAAGCGAAAAGCTTTCTTTTAAACAAGAGATGTTGAAAGTCCTTGTAGCTTTCGTTTTTGTAGGCCAAGCAATTTGACATAAACCGTCTTAAATACTGTTTTTTTTAGTTAAACTATGTTCATTCTCCTTTAACTTTTATGAGGTTTGAGCACGTTGTGGGCCAATTTACTCAGAAGTCTGGCCTAAGAACTATATACTATGTTCCCACTATCACGATTGGCGTCACCATTGAAATCGGGGACTCAATAGCGGAAAAATCGTAATGATCTTATAATTCTTTGTTCACTTGTGTCTATCATTTCAATCGTCAATTACTTTGAGTGGAAGAGTTTTGACGTCTACGTTCCTGTTTCAACGGTATCATTAAGGGTTGGAATAAGATAGCTTACGATGCTTGTCCGTTACAGTGTCCGTGGTGTGAAAAGCCTGTTCCTTTATGGGACCGTGTTCAAACCTTAAGGTACCGTTATATAAATTTTATACAACCGTATCGTTTGCTTTTCACGCCAAAAACCGTATATACATAACAGTCACAATTTCATATGGTTTATAAAATTAAGCTGAACTGTCGCTAAATCTGCTTATTATCATTACAATATGACCTACACTTCAACTGGCTTTCATATCGTGATGATCGGGACCGATATCGTACAGGACAAACATCACGCCGGTTTGTATCTCACGTCCTGTCACTATCTGTGACGCTTTAAGTGGTGCTAATAGACATTTCCAGCTACAATGAAGCGCAATGAAGTGGTAAAATTTTCCGTTTGGATGAAACGTTCTGAGTCATGTTTTGAAGTCAATTATAACATAATGACACGCCCATATTTTTAGAAACGAGAAAGAAATATTCGTCGTAATGTTTTAGGACACCCCACTCTTCGTGACAAACAACATGAGTTACACTGAAATCAAGCTTTAATAAAATTAGAAGAAAGAATTAGAGACTCCCCGCTTCTGTAAAATAAAATTGCAACGAATATGAACATATTTTTGAACTTATCATGTCTCTTATAGTTACCACAACACATGTTTCGGTCGAACACGCGTTTACTCGGTGTTTATTTAGACCGTCAATTTGATTGGCTATTATATTTATGGAAAACCTGTTCTACAGGTATTCGAATAAACAAATTGATCGTTTTATCCATTTCTAAAGAAGTGGGCGTGTCATAAGATAGCTCAAAACGTTCCATTCGAACGGAAAATTTTACCACTTCAATGCGCTTCATTGTAAGAGCGCCACGAGCTCGGACTCGTACTCTGTACTTCGATATATATATAAGGGGCCGTATAAAAAGTGTTTTGAAAGGGTTATAAAGCTTTATTTTAAGTATGGCGTATCTGAACTTAAAAAGTAAATTACGAGATTAAACGAAGATTATGATATTATTTGCTATCTAAATTCAAAATAAAACCACCGATTTTGAACCCAAATATCATCCCCATTTTTCTATACATGTAGGCTAAATTGACTTTAAACTGTGTTTCAAATGATAGTTATATCCGAGTTTGAAATAATTCGGTATTTGTTTCAAATCTTGGATTTCTATGTAACACGATTGATTTAAATTGTGCTATTTACAGGAAAGCAACAAAACAGATCATTTTAATTCTTATGAAAAATACGCCATATTTGACTTTAAATGCTACATATTATGTTGTTTTATCTAGGAAACAGTGTTTTGTTGTTTTTTTTTTGTAAATAAATTAAATTTTGACACGGCCCTTAAAAAATTTGAAACAACTGTCAGAGTCAGTGCGCGAGTACGCTCGAAATCTGGAAATGTCTATTGCTCACGAGCGGGCACGATTTTTCCCCACGTGCTCAGATACTATTTGTTACGGACATACAGTACTGTATGAGAGTAAACGCAGTTAGATTCGAGTGTTGACGCTTTGTCGCGGACGCTTAAAAGTACTTAAACTCGCAAAATAACGGGCAAAATTTATTGTGTTTTATTCACAAAGATGTCAGTTTTGCAAAATATTTTGAAGATGCTACACGTACCCAATAGAAACGGATAAATATAAAAGGCAAGCGATCATTTTCTCTTGCTTAAACTGAAACCCGATCTATCAGCATCGTCTCAAGTCACGGTCCGGAGTCCGCATATAGCTCTCTCCTACCCGTGGCTGCTTGATCACATAGATTGTCGTGATCCTGAATATCAACCTCTCTATATTTTGATGTCAAGTTCAGCCAATGATAATATTTGTTTCCATTGCGAATGAAATCAACAAATGATACAAGCAGAGCTTTTTTTAAAAAAAAAAAAACTTACCGTCTTTAGCAACAACCTTAAACAGTAAACTGATCTACACCTATCAGGCCGTATAATTCTTTTGAATTTTATTGATTTTGTATTTCTACATAAGCTTTTTACTGGCATTAGCCCTACCACGGTTGCTCCGTTTTTATTTACAATGAAATTAAAGAGACCCTTTCAGTTATTGCTATAAAAAATATCATGTTATTAAGAATTAATTACTGCCGATTTTGTTGTTTGTTTTGTCATTTTTTTTTTAAGATTGAAAAATCTTACAAAATTGTTAAGTCGTACGAAAATTAGATCATCAGAAAGTTATCTCCCTTGCCTTGTACAGCATTTCAACCAATGTAATAATTGAAAATTTTCTCATTATTCAATTTCTACAAATCACAAAAGAGAGGAAGTGCATAGTCCGAAGACTGTAAAAAAAACAAACAAATCAACAGTATACAGGAAATATTTTGTAAAGTGCCATTGGTTATTGAAAGGTCGCATCAAAGTTCATTTTCCGACTATGTTTTAACTCGCATTTAATGGGCTACGAAAATTTCACTTCTCACCAACCACGGCCAGAATGGGAAAGGATCGAACATGTTGGCCGTGGTTTGCGACGATGTTCAACCAGAGGTTATACTGGAAGGGGAAAAATGAAAAGAAAACAATTACTGCTAATTTTCCTCTTCTTTGACAGCCATTATACGAAACATATGGAGATATCAAACAGTTATTCAAGATCAAAAGTTAAAAAAAATAATGCGAAACAGGAGCAGAGCAAACACGGACCTCCAAAACATCAGAGGTGGGATCAGGTGCCAGTGAGGAGTAGGCATCCCTTGACGAACGATCACACCCACCGTTTGTTCCTTGTCATGATCAGGGAATAACGGAAAAAAATCCGTCGTCAATCCAGTGTATGAATAATGGACCAAATAATAATTAGTATGAAATTTGACTTATACGAACATAACTTAGCACTGCAAACACAACGTTGTGATCAAGGTCAACTTTTGTCTTTAGTATTTTTATTGATTGTTCTTGTTTTATTTAATTTTTGAAAGATAAAATATATTGGACTCGATATAGTCAGATTGAAAAATACATCTAACACCGTACAATCGTAGATTCATGAAAGACATTGCAATGAATATTTTTTCTATCGCAAAGTAGCGCAAGGGGTCGTAAAGAACGTCTACATCGTAACAGTACGTATTTAAAACGTACAGTCGCGTGCCAAAAGTGAAGATAATTACAAGATAGCAGCTGTCTGGAGATGTGAAACAAGTTCCAGTTTTTTCTCTTAGAAAAATGTAAATGAATGATTACTGACCTACCTAATACTTTGTTATGCTTCCTTTAGCTTTAATAACAGTCTGGATGCGCTTGGGGATAGAGTGGTATAAGTTCCTGATGAAATTTATGTCGATCTCTGCCCAGGTATCCCGAATTGTCTCCTCTAGGAGCGCTTGTAATGTTGTGGGCCTGTTTTTGCAGTTCCTGTTTTATTTTTCGCCATTCTCAATAATACTGATGTCTGGACTTTGGTGTGGCCATTCCATGCAGTTAATGTGGTTTTCTTCCATGTACCCCTTAACAATTCGGGCTCGATGGACGGGTGCATTGTCATCTTGGTAAATATAACTGTAATCCGGGAAATAGCGAGCAATTACAGGCCACAGGTAACTGTCAACAATCTCTATATATTTTGCAGCATTAATATTACTATTTACAACAGTAATTGTTCCAATACCTTCGTAGCTAATGCAACCCCAGATCATTAAACTCGCTCGTGCGCCACGACCGGGATTTACGCAAGGGGGTTGTCCACTCTTCTCCGGGCCGTCTCCAAACACGGACACGCATTTCCATATCCAATTCCACCTCATATTCGTCACTAAAGAAAACTTTCTTCCGGTATTCATTCACAGTCTTCTCTCTATTCAGCTTGCACCACACAAGTAACTTTTTCACATTTTCTGCACGATTTCGGATAGCATTTTTACAACTCACTTGTGAAGTCCTTCCTCATATATTTTTCTCTAAATTGTCCGTTTTGACACAGTTTGAGGTCTAAATTCATAAAATATTGAGATTATTTCTCGTAGTGGACGCTTTAAGTTTGAATTTACAACAGATCCAAGTTTCCGACTATCCCTCTCTGACAACAAAGACGGCCTCCCACTTCGCGCCTGGTTTTCTATGCTCCCATCTCAAAACACCATACATAGTTGATAGTGGCTGTCCCGTTTCCTGAGCTATCTCTAAACCCTTAATACCGGTCCGCTCTATGTAACTCAGCAATCGCATTTTTTTCTGCCAATGACAGCTCACGTCTGTTTGTTGCTATTCTCGAACAAACAGCTACATGTATAATATTGAACAGCAGACGATGTCACACTTCCGGTAACCTGCAAGGTCTGTCTACTACGTCATAACTTTCACTTAAATTTACAATGTAAGAAGGATAACATTTAATTTTAAACCGAGAAAAACACACAGGACTTTAGATCTTTGTAAGGAGAAGTGAGAAAAATTAAGAAGAGAAAATTGTCTTCACTTTTGCCACGCGACTGAAGACAATCGATTAAAATCTTGGGTTCACATCATACTGTAAGAAGTTAACCCCTCGTGACCATACCGCAACGAATCGTATGAAAACGCGCTTAAATGCATCTCTGCGTATCTTGTATGAAATTCAATACAAACTCTGCAATCATCTACGAATGATCAATCATTGTTGTTCGTAACAGACCGCACGACAGTACAGTAGGAACGTAACATATAAAGATGGACATGTCAACTTCTATAGAAAGGGGGGAGGGGGGGGGAGGGGTTAAAATTATACAAAGAATGATTATTTAAAAGGCGTCATTTCATACTTTGACTTATCATGACCCTTGTTCTAAATCAACATCATCGATGATTTCTCTTACAGCAAAGTTGAGAGAGTTTTCAAAACATAATTCTTATACATATAAAATCTTTCACTCAGAGATACTTAGTACTTAAAATCTTACCTAGTTCGAAATAATCGATATATATGTATTTTAATCTTTTGACCTCTGAAAATGTTAAGGAAAATGTGACACCGAGACCAGCCTTTGTCATCGAATAGGTATCCCTATCTTCATCAACTGCTTTACTGGCTTCATATTTGTCATTCGTCGTTGTCTGTGAAACTGTTGGCAGTTTGTAGGCAATGTTTTCTGGAAGTACAAAAATCTTTAATAATACATTTGGTTCATTTTTGCATGATCAAATGATTCCAATGTACATGTATGTTGAAAGGATGAAAACAAGGAAGAAGGACTATTGTTGACATTTGCATAAAAATGCACATAAGACGATTTACACACTTTAAAAAAAATGAATCATCTAGCTGTGTGTTGCAATGCACATCAAGTTCTGACAAAATAAACATATATTATTTTTTAAATCCTTAAAGAAAAATGCCGTTTCATAATAGTAAATTCTTTGCTTTTGTACTTTTAATTAAATAAAACTATATCCTGTTTCATGTTATTGAAATTGATCGTCAAAACCTGCCCATTTTTTTGTGTTTATCTAAACGCGATTTCAAGCTTGGGCTGATACAAGGGCGTAAAAGAAACTGCGATATGTTTTATTTTCATTTTCAAGACTTGCAGTTTTATTGAATTTATTTCACGAGTGCTGAAATGTTTATTTAAATATTAGAACATCCTATGTCATAACTGATATAAATGAAATAATCAACAACAAAATATTGAATTAAATTGAAACATCAAAGATCAGCAATCTGGAGATTGGAAAGTTTAAACATGGATTTCAACAACAAAATTTGAAAATTTTTCCTTTTGTCTCTGTCATGATGGTTTTATTTATTTTATAACTAGCCATGGAGAATATTTTGCAACACACTCTCTCGAAGGGATGGAATAGAGTTCTTCCTTCTGATTTTTTTCCACCTTGAAATAACTTATAAATCTTTTCTCTGTGATTAAATATCACTTATTCAATAAGTTAAATTATTTCGCTGTTGAAAATGAAATAGACTGAATTTGGCTTGATGGCAATATCAGTACAACAAGAGGAACAGGGCAACAAAACCCAAGTGAGACTCTATATTGCTCTTAATGACAAAAAAATAAGAAACCAAAGCATTTATTCAGACCCAAGCAAAAAAGTACATTTACAATTAAAACAATATATAATTCTTGCGAACATTTTCACATTGGACCAAAAATTATCTTCTTCTGGCCTCAAGACTGTAACCCTAATAAGAGTTATGATTTTGAATAGCAGAATCTTGGTTTTCTGTGTCTAATATACTGGGCAAAATAAGTTAGGGATCACATTTTTACACAAGAATAATATTTTTATTCCCATGATTTTTTGTGACAACAAGGCTTAAGTAGTTTTAAAAACATGTCATTTACACGATTCGATACTTAAGTCACACATGTTTAATGAGTTTTTGGACATACTGGTCAAGAAAGTAGGTGGCGTTAAAAAAGTAAGTGGAACGATGGAAGCATAGAAGTATCACAGACGGTTTTCTTTAGTGAACACCAGAAATTTCAGTATATCTGGCAAGAACTGGTGATAAGACGCAATGAGGAGGCATATGAGTATGGACGAACACTCCATGGCAGCAGGGGTGCTGGAAGCTGGAAAAACACAACGTCACTTTGCAGAACGACTTTATCTTTCCCAAAAGTGGAATTAACGGTTATGGAACCGATATTTACAGGCAGAAAATTGTCAAACAAGAGGCCCATGGGCCACATCGCTCACCTGAGAAGCTTTGACCATTCTGTTCTTTACCAGATTTCCCCCTTGTAATACATAATGCAACCCCACCCTACCCCACTGATCATAATTAAGACAATTTGAAATCTACACTACCCCAGGATGCTTCCATGTGCACATAAGTTTAAGCTTTTCTGGCCCAGTGGTTCTAGAGAAGAAGATTTTCAAAACATTTTCCTATATATTTCAATGTAAAACTTTGATTCCCCATTGTGGCCCCGCCCTTCCCCCGGGGGTCATGATTTAAATAATATAGAATTTACACTACCCCAGGATGCTTCCACATAAGTTTCAGCTTTTCTGGCTCAGTGGTTCTTGAGAAGAAGATTTTCAAAACATTTTCCTATATATTTCAATGTAAAACTTTGATTCCCCATTGTGGCCCCGCCCTACCCCCAGGGGTCATAATTTGAACAATTTAGAATCTACACTACCCCAGGATGCTTTCACATAAGTTTCAGCTTTTCTGGCCCAGTGGTTCTTAAGGAAAAAATTTCAAACATTTTTCCTATATATTTCTATGTAAAATTTTGATTCCCCATTGTGGCCCCGCCCTTCCACCAGGGGTCATGATTTGAACAATTTGGAATCTACACTACCCCAGAATGCTTCCACAAAAATTTCAGCTTTTCTGACCCAGTGGTTCTTGAGATGAAGATTTTCAAAGATTTTTCCTATATATTTCAATGTAAAACTTCAATTCCCATTGTGGCCCTGCCCTTCCCCGGAGGTCATGATTTGAACAATTTAGAATCTACACTACCCCAGGATGCTTCCACATAAGTTTCAGCTTTTCTGGCTCAGTGGTTCTTAAGAAGAAGATTTTCAAATATTTTTCCTATATATTTCTATGTAAAACTTTGATTCCCCATTGTGGCCCCGCCCTTCCCCCCAGGTTCATGATTTGAACAATTTAGAATCTACACTACCCCAGGATTCTTCCACATCAGTTTCAGCTTTTCTGGCCCAGTGGTTCTTGAAAAGAAGATTTTAAAGATTTTTCCTATAATTTCTATGTAAAACTTTGATTCCCCATTGTGAACCCGCCCTTCCCCGAAGGGTCATGATTTGAACAATTTAGAATCTAAACTACACCAGGATGCTTCCACATAAGTTTCAGCTTTTCTGGCCCAGTGATTCTTGAGAAGAAGATTTTTTAATGACCCCACTTTATTTTTGTCTTTTCTTGAATATCTCCCCTTGTGAGGGGACTTGATCCTTTATTTTAACAATTTAAATTCCCCTTCACCCAAGGATGCTTTGTACCAAGTTTGGTCAAAATTGGCCCAGTGGTTCTTGAGAAGTCGAAAATGGGAAAAGTTTACAGACGGACAGACATACGGACAGCTAGACAGACGGACGGACGACGGACAAAATGTGATCAGAAAAGCTCACTTGAGCCTTCGGCTCAGGTGAGCTAAAAAGGCTAAAATCAGGACGTCCAAGGTGTACGGCAGTCCGTGAGTATCGTTATTTGGCCAATTTTGCTGAGACGCACCGCTTCCAAAGTACTCTTACGCTTAATACTGGGCATCAAAAAGCAACGGGCAGACAAATTTCTACTCAAACAGTTTGAAACAGACTTCATAAAGCAAATCTCAAGGCTTGCCGACCAGCCCTACGTCCTGTATTAACCCCTTAACGGCCAAGCGCGCCTTTTAACGCATTTTCAGCATCACAGTGATTTAACTGTTGGCGTTTTGTAAATAATTGGGATACAACAAAACAATTGATATTTTCTGAAACTAGAGAAGAAACACAACAATTTTTCTATTATCGTAAACTTGAATTGAACATTGAATATAATTGCGTGTAGTTAGTAAAATTACGCATAAATGAGTGATTTTGTGCTATCTTCTGTAGGCTGTATCTCAAATACAGCAAACGATAAAAAAAAAAAAAACGAATGCCATAACCTAAAAGCTGGGAATTTTCCCTACATTTTCTCTATTGGACATTGAAAGGTACGAGCATCCGTTACAGAAATATTTGCTGTTGAATATTGGAACTTTTTCGATGAAAACAAACAAAATGCACTATGACGTCATCTAACGTTTTACATGTTAACAATGAAATCGTTTATAAGCTCGGTGTAAAATAAATCGATTCTTTTAACATATGGAACAGAATTATTTTTTAAAGGAATTATTTATAAAGAAGAGTTAATATACGAGACGTTTTTAGCCATTGACATGTAATTAAGGGAATTTTCCTTAGCTTTATAATATTTATATAGTAATAGTTCTTGACCCAACGCCCCGATTTCGCGCACCCACTGTTTCAAAAATCGTTGTTGAACCTACATGTAGTAGGAATAATTAATCAAGTAATTAGGTATTGTCGTTACCATTTTCTTACTCTGCGGATTCGTCATTAAGAGTAAAAAAAAAAAAATATACATACAAGCTTATAAATATTTTTTCGAGTCCTTTGTCTAGTATTTTAAATGTACTTTGAAAAGAAAAAGCTGTCACAAGGACGAAACATATTAGGTGTTAAAATTTCGATGAAAGATATATTTTTTCCTAACGCACAAATTGCATTTGACGCGATTATTTTTCTTACCCTTATCTTTATCAAATATACAACGAATGTATAGGAACATGAAAATAAAATAATGAATATACACTGTGATATTTAATTTTTAAAAATCGGGAAACTTGATTTCGTTTGAATTATTTCCCTTTCTGTTACCATGGTTGTTATGTACACAGGGAGAGACATAGCACGAAACAGTCATTCTACAAAAACAAGCATGGACAATTATATTCTTTTTCATGTCACTTACAAATTTGCCGTTATTATATCTTAACTATAAATTTTAAGACCAATTCCAGCTTTAAGATATAACATACACGCATGTTTTTTTTCTTCAATATTTACCGATATATATGCATATAGTTAAAGTTTAGATATGAACATCATGATCTTAATGTCGCTTCATTTATTTACAAATTTCAAGACGGGATTCTCAACCGTAAAGCGTTCCTTACAGATTGCGATGAATGTTAAATTAGAAGTTTTTTTTTTTAAAATCTTGAATAAAATGAAATCAAACCACTTCTCGAAAAAGAAATGCATGGATCTTCTTTCATAAGTAATCATAGCATATCGCTAAAAATCAATAAACTTCAGTAATGAGTTTGCTCTAAATTTCACGGACAGATTATTTGCAGATTTAAAAAAGAACTGAAATTGACCAAAAAAAACTATATCATTAATTCTAGTTGCGAGTCAGCTATATATTTATTTTTAAGACAATGCCTTTTTAGATATACATGTAACAAATTGAATTGGAGAAAAACATACTTCCGAAATGGTAATTCAGGAAGGATTTTGCATGACAGATATATATTTTTTATTCTTTGGGGAGCGATCACGAAATTCTTCATACTTTTGTTTTATGTCCTAAAAC